GCAGGCAACTTCAAGATGCTGAGCAAACATTTCTAATAATACTTTTACATGGCACTTCATAAATGCCAAAGTTGTTCTGTAACACATTAGGGCCCAGTTTTTTGGTTCAAGTAGTGAATATGATTGAGAAAATATGTATGCCTTTGACCTCGACATCAACCGAATGAGGTAGGTGGAAGAGTATTATCCCCATTACAGAAAGAAAACTGAGGCTCACAGAAGGGCAGGGACTTGCCCAAAGCTTGTTAAGTGTCAGGAAAAGCTAAAACTGGGTCTTCTGGCCCTTCGCCTCGCAGGAAACGCAGCTTCTAATTCTTCCTCTGCCGCTGACATGAGGTTTGACCCCTGCCTAACATCTCATGTCCGCGGTGAACTTTTCATCTGAAACATGTGCAAACGGGGCCCAACAAGTTTGGCTCTATCCGAGGCCCAGGAAACCGGGCAAAACAGGAGATGCAGGTGACCCAGTCTGCGTCTCTCAAGAGCGTCGCCCGGCTGGAGGCCGAGACCTCTGCCTCAGAGACCCTGCCCCAAAAGGCTGGGGCCGCACTGGGCTTGCTCGTCCCTTGCCGGTTCGACCTCCAGGGACCACGGTCGGACGCCGGCCGCGCTGCATTTGAGACGTCAGAGGGTGCCCAGACCTCATTAGCCCGTAGCTGGCCTCTCCCTCGTCACCACGTCTAGCACTCAAATACGCCGATGGCTGGATGCATCCGCCGGGCCAGTGGCACCCTGAGTTTGCGATTCCTGAAACCGAGACACAAAACTCGGCAGCGTTTCCCCCGACCGCCGCGGAGCCGCACGCTTCAGCGCCCGCTCCTCTAGGGGGCGAGGTCCTGCTGCGCCTGCGCCCGGAGCTTGCGCAGTGGGCGGGGAGGCCGTGGGTGGGGCGGGGCCAGGTGGGCTGGGGGAGGATGTCAGCCCCCCCACGGCTGGTATACTAAAGCCTGCGGGTAGGGAGGGCGTTCTAAGCCGCGGTGTCCGGAGGGCGACGCTGCCAGAACCCTTCTCTCACCCAGGGCTACTGCCAACGCTTGGCGTCTGCGGATCCTATCGGTGGGGATAGGACACAGTTTTGGAGCCTCTATGCGCAGGCTTCTCGCGGGTTGTGGGGTGGGAAATGTGGGAGCTGTAGTGTCACCTCCCCAGGTGGGGCCCTTCTGTGGCATCATAGAACTACGTAAATGGGAGACATCGCAAATCTCTGACTCTTTTGCCAGAGCCTTGTGCAACGTCACTATGTCAGCAGGAGGATGCCGGGACGTCACAGGGCCTGCGTTCTGGGAGGTGGGATGGAACGCCTTTGAACCAACTGCAGGGACGCCAAGATTCGGCCGGGGGAAGAGGAGAGGTTCTGCTATCACAGGTTCCACGTTCTTGGAGCTGAGGTGGTGTCAAGGAGCTCTAGACCATCCCACTGCGGATCTCCCTCCTCCTCCCCAGAGCCCTCTTGGAGCCCTGAGTCCCGCAGCAGACAAGGTCGCAGGAAAACGTCCCTTCGTGCCCCTAGCTACATTCCGGAAGCAGGAGGTGGACCTGAACTTCTTCCAACTAGGGCAAAGACCCGCGGGGCTGTTCTTTCCCTGGGTCGCTCCTGAGCTTTTCTAGAGCGAGCCCCAGGAAGCCTCAGGCTGCACGTAGGATCTCTCGCGCCTTCTACCCGTCCAACAGAGAAGTCCAGCCGGTAGCTCCTCCAGCCCCGGCCTCGCACAGGAACTGCAGGCCTAGCAGCTTTGGGAAGGACCCCAGCTGAACTCCATCTGGCCAGACCTCCCTCGCTCTCGAACACCCGCCCGGAGACAAGAGAGGGGGGATGGAATCGGACTTTCTAGGGATGCAGCGCGGGGGCGGGGGAGGAGGGAATTAGCCCTTACAGAATGGACAGGCAAGAAAACCCACCCAAAGTTTCTGATCCTTTCATTGCCCTTTTCGTGCGATCCACACCGAGTACAAACAGAAAATGCCCAACCACGTCACGGGGTAATCGTAGCCTGTGTGCGGTCTGGTTGCCCGCGGCCTCGTCTGCCCCTTCCACTTGCAGTTGCTGTTTCTGCACAATCTATGCAATCACTGTCATGAGTATGGACCGCGAGAGATACGCTGAGAAGTGGCTTCTGGGTCCACCAGCATGAAAGCAATCGTCGGCAAAGCAAGCCAAGGCACAGGCGTTGTACATGCGCTGGAGGTCTCCGAGCAGCACCCGGCCCCTCTCCCTACTGCCCCGTGAAAACTGCGCTGGGAATCCATTCTTCCGAGAAAGCACATTTGATATTGAAAGTCCCCTGCAGGGCCTATAGGGTTGGAGGGGTGGGGATTTGTGGTACCAGAAGTGGGGTGAGCCAGAAGGAACCCCTCCCCCCCCCCCCCCCCCGCTCCGTTTCGCAGCCTGTACCACGACGTCCTTGAGGCTGGGCTAACCGCAGAGGCGCTGTGTCCCGAGGGGAGTGGTAGGTGGAGGAATGTGGGGGAGGAGTGGGCAGCAGCCTAGTCAACCCCTGTGAAAAATGGGACGCCAGAAAGAGCAAAGGGACTGGATGGAGCTCACTCGCAGGTCCTCAGAGGTGCCGGGAGCTCTCCATAGCGGCTGTGTGTGTGTGTGTGTGTGTGTGTGTGTGTGTGTGTGTGTGTGTGTGTGTGTCCACGCACTCTCCGGGGTCTTGCAACAATCACGTCCCCCCAGTCTCGGAGGATTAGTGAAGGAACTGAGGTAGCGCCTGCCATCAGGATTATCACAAGCCATGGCAGAGAGCAGCCCATGCCGCTGCCTTCGCTGGCTGGGCCCAAGCGGTGGAAACCCAAACCCACTGACTAACCCCCTCCATGTATGCCGAGGTCACAGTTCCCTGGGATCTGGGCTCCGTGCTCGTCTGGGACAAGTCCTTAATGGACCGGGTGGAAAAGGGATTGGGATCTTGCCCGACTAGCCGAGCTCCCACACGCCTCCAGACCCCGCAGCGCCCTACCCATCGCTCACTCGCAATGGGTCCTGGGACCAGTCAAGAAGGTTTTGATCTGTATGGGGGACCGAAAGGAGCTGCGGCGGCGAGTCACTCTGGGTTGTGGGCCGGACACCGGAGTCCCGGGCCGCCCATCCAGGGCTGTCCAGCAGGGGGCAGCGCGACTCCAAACGCGGAGGGCAGGGATCGTCTGAGCCGGCCGGCCGAGGCCCTAGGGACAAGTTGGGTCCCCGAACCGCTGAGTTCTACCCCGCGCAGGGCCAAGAGGCAATCCTAGCAGAGGTGGGGGCGGCGCAGGGAAACGCGAGAGTGTTTTAATTCCGACAGCCCCGGCCTGCTCCTGCCGCCCGCCGGGCCCGGCCCGAGGCTGGGATTTGAGGTTCGTGTTACTTAGAGGGTCGACCCGCTATCTCCGCGGCCGCCGAAACGCCCGTCACAGCAGCCCGAGAGGTTGCTCTTAGCCTGGGAAAGGCCTCGGGCGCCCCCGCATACGCTGCCCAGCGGCCAGGGTGCTGGAGCTGGGGGAGCCCCGCCCCGCCCCAGTAGGGGAGCCTCCGGCAGCCTGGCCTCTAACTGTGGGAAAACTAGATGCCCCGGAGAAGATTCAACTTGTAGAGGGTGGACTCAGATTTCTCCTGAACTTCCCGGCCCTCCCAGGGCGCCCGCCCCCGCCATTCCTAACAAGGCTTGAAAACTGCAGGAATCTTCGCGGGCGTGGAGTTTCGTCTGGGGAATCCTAAGCGGAAGGCATGTAGGTTTGGGTCTTTGGGAAGACAGCGGTGATTACGTATTTGTAGCCAAGTATCGGGGGCCCCGGGGACAAGACAGTAGTCGTTTGAGGCTGTCTTTGTGGGCCCGTCCTTCCCTAAAGCAGTAGCAAGAGCTCAGCGTTGGGGGCGGCGGGCGGGGGGGCGGGGGGCGCGGGTAGAGAGGAGAGTGACATTCTGTTATTCCCTTAGTGGACCCTGGGCGACCCCAGCACCCGGGGATGTTGCGATGTTCCACCGCCAATACACTGGCGGAAGGCTCGGCTTCTTCGTAAAGTCAAAGCCTTTTGGAGACAAGGCGTGAGGCAGCTGATGAGATCCTAAGACCAAAGTGGAGGAAAAAGTAAGAAAGCAAATATGGGATGGGGTCCGAGGTAGGCCAACACGGGGACAGAGGAGTTTTCTCTACCCTCCCATCCCTATCACCTCAATAAGGTGGGACTCGGGCAGCGGGCATAGGAGTCTGCAGAGAAACCTGCTCATCTCAAAGAAAGGCGCCGCCCAGTTTCCTGCGCTGGGGAGGAAATTATCCATCCTGCAATGCCTGTAAAATAACCGTTTATTTCATATTTTTAAAAACTCCAGTGATAAATGTCCGTTACCGATGGTCAGCATAAAGTGCCAATCGCAATACATCGCCCTGCTCCTAGCCGGCAGCTCGCTCACGGTGACGGGCGACACAGCAGGGGGAACCGGAGGCCAGGTCCCCTCCAGGCCCAAGGGCCGCGGGCCCCGCCCCCGCCGGCCGAGCCCGGGAGCCCTCGGCAGGCTGCGGGGAGGGAGCTGGGAGCGGCGCGGCCGGAACCCCGCGGTGGGTCTCGGGGCCGGGCGGCTGAAGCAGATACACGGATTACACTTTTGCAGGCTCCCGGGGATGGGAATGGGGCAGGAGGGGGGGCTGGAAGCTGCGAGCGCGCAGTACTTCGTTTCCTCGCCCCTCTTTCTCCGCAGTCAGAGTTACAAGCTTATATGGTCAAAGAAAAAAATAATAAAGAAAACGTATAAAATAACAATAGGAAAAGTAATACTTCTGGGAGAGGCGCCGCTGCGGCTCCGCGGAGCTTTCGTTCTTCTTCTTTTTTTTTTAAAATGCAGTTTCCCTTCCGCCACGTGAGTACCGCCTTTTGGCCAAGAGTTTGGCCTCGTCCTGGGGGAGTCGCCCGGGCGGCTGGGTCATGGCCCCGGGCGGGGCTCCGGAGTTCTGCGTGCGCCCGGGACCCAAGGGACTTTGTTTGGGACCAGGGAGGTCCGGGAGCCCCTCCCGCGGTCTGCTAGAGTCGCCTTCCGGCTTCTGGTCCCTCTGGAGGAGGGGTCGGCGTGACCCAGAGCTCTGTTGACCCGGAGGCTCTCTTTAGCATTTGATCTTGGAGGTTTTGAGCTCCTTCACCTGTGAGTGTAGCGTCTTGTGAACAGCGAGAGTCCTGGACTGGCAGAATCCTTTCCCGCACTCTTGACACTTGAAAGGCTTTTCTTTGGAGTGAATATATCTGAGAGCAAAAACAGACAGAGAATTAATCCTTGAAAAATGATGCAATGTTATAAACTGTTGCCCAAGATCCCCTCCCACTGTTGCGAGGCGCTTGCCCTCAAAAGAAAGGGGTTGTGGGGTACCTAGTGAGGAGCTAGCAAAAGGCTGAGTTTGCAGATGGAGCAGGGAGGTGAAGGAGAGGCTCGGGCAACCTCGGAACTGCAGCAGGTTCCTCCAGGCAAGCCGCTTGCCTTCTTGAGGGGGAGCCAGCATGGCCTCCTTATAAGGCCTGCGTCAGTACTGAGGGTGAGTGAGGGGACTGGGTGGGCTATTTGCTGAAGCTGCCCTGGCCAAGATGGTAGCCACTAGCCATGTGTGCTTATTCAAATTAAAATGAAGTAAAACTTAAAAGTTAGTTTGTTGATCACACTTGTTTCACATTTCAAGTGCTGAATTGTCACGTGTGTCACGTGTCACTCTCCAATATCTCAGGAACTTCTATTGGACAGCACTGCAGATGAAGGAAGGGGTAAGGAAATCATGCATGCTTGTCCGGAGCTCATGGAGACCTGACTTAGTCCTAGGTCCTATTTATTCCCTGTGCTCTCCACCCATGCTCCAAGAATTGATCCCGGAGCTTTGTATGGTTTTCTTCATGATTTTTGGTTAATTCCCAGAAGTTGGGAGCTAGGAGACAGTAGGGGGTCTCAAGAACCTTCCCATTAGGGAGGAGGATGTCAAGGACAGAAGCAGAAAGCTCTCTCTAGGGCCACCCGCAGGGCCACACCTGTGATCCCGTAGGTGGTCTTGCCTCCGGAAGGCTTTGTGGCAGATGTCACAGGTGTAGGGCCGCTCATCCGTGTGCGTCCGCTCATGGATAAGCAGGTTGTAGGACTTTGTGAAGTGGCGACCACAGAACTTGCAGACGAACTCCTTCTTGGTCTTGGAAGGCAGGCGTCCTCTCGTGGGCTTCTTTTCTGGTGATAGCTTGGTCACATCCAGGAGGGCACCCAGCCCACCAGCAGGGGAGCCGGGACCCTCCCCCCGGCCAAGCTTGGATGGATCTTCTTGCGTGGCGGCCAAGGCCAGGTTGGCAAAATCAAAGCGCGGCTTGGTCTTGAGTGCCGCGGGGCCGCTGCCTCCAGCGGTGATCTCAGGCTTGGGCTGGATGACATGGGGGAACCAGGGAAAGGCAGGCAGCTGGAAGCGCGCGTCCACCAGGTTGGACACGGCCCCGGGCACTTTGGAGAAAGAGGATCGTGGCAAGTGCATGGCCGGGTAGCCCAGCGTCCACTGGTGCAGGTGCACAGCGTGCAGAGCACTGAAACCATACAGGTTGGGCAGGTGGTCCGAGGGCACCGTGGGCAGGCCGTTTACTGCCTGAAGGAAGGAGTAGTTGGTGAGCTGCAGGGAGGGATGGATGGGCACTGGCGCTGGCAAGGTTTTGCTGCCCATGGTGGAATCTGCAAAGAAAAGAAGGGAGTAGGAAGAGGAAAAGTTCAGGGTAGGTCAGTTTTCTTCTGAATCCCAGCCCAGCCACACCCTTTCTGTCCCCCAGGTTAGGAGCTGGAAATCTAAGACACCACCCCATGAAACCCACTGACCTAAAAAAAAAAAAAAAAGGTAGGAACCCTCTCTGTTCTGAGGGCTTCCTCCAAATGTCTCTTGGCAGAGACACAAACTTGATACAGAAACCAGAAGGAAACTAAACCCAATGCAATGCAACCACCTTAACTGAAGGACTGTGGTAGGCATGACACCGAGAAAGGCAGAAACACAGGGCAACTGGGATGATGTAGAAACTCTCGTCCAGGCAAGCCTGAGTCAACACAGAATTACACTCTCCTGCAAAGGTAACAGGGACTCGGAAGCACGCTCCTGTGTCCGTGTGCTGACACACACAGAAATGCACACTGACAGATCCACACAGTCTGAAGCAGAGTTGACAACAAGGTGCAAAGATTAAGTGGGACAGGACGATCAGTGTTCAGCTACACAAAACAAAACGCAGGGGACAACACACACACACACACACACACACACACACACACAGGATCATGTGGCACCCACAAAGAGCCTTCCAGCCAGACAGCACACATACAAACACACAAATCCATATACCTCCCAGCTCCTGTCCGTTAAGATCTACTAGCTGACCTTCCATTTGGCCTCCAGAAGCCACGTCATCTTTCTCCTCAAAACTTTCAACTTTGACTGCAAATTTGCTTTCCTGCCTCACTATCACTGAGCCCTGCTGACCACACTGTCTCTGAAGCCGCTTGTGGACAGATGCCCTTGGGGATCATCTGCATTTTAGGAAGAACACTGACACCCGTCTTCATCAACTCACGCAGTCAAACATCTGCACTTGAATACAAGGGGGCTTCCATGCCCTCCCTACCCCATACAAAAGGGGGAAGGGCCTTCGGGGGGTCTCAGGACATTGGTGGGTCCATGATGAGCCCTGGGCAGGTGGGCACGCCTAGGGGCAGGAAAGAGCACCGAGGCCTGCCTCAGCTTCTACAGTCTAGCCACCCTCCAAACGCAATGCCAGGGAGCTTGAGCAAGGCCGGAGGGAAGCCGTGCTGAAGTGACCCACAGACTAGGAGTAGCCTTTCTGGTCAAGGTCTCCAGGCTGCAGGAACAGATCTGTGCTCTGCAGAGAGGCCTTTATCTCTGTCCATCCCAGACACTGGCTAATGGAGGCAAAAACAAGAACAAAAGCCAAAAGTACACAAGGAGCTTTGGGACGCTCAAAAGATGAACACCCTCTCCCTTAGGCTCTGAGCTGAGGGCTACTCAAGAAGCCGTTGTGGGAGCAGGGTGCTTGGGGACACCCTCTCCTTCGCCCCTCTAAATCCTCTGCTGCCCACTTCCTACACCCCTTCTTCTTCCTCTTCTCTCCCTGGGATTTTGCCTCTGAAGGGCAGTGAGTCCTCTTCCCTGGGATGTGCAGGACACTGCTCTGCTTCCTTGTCACTGCTCCCACTGACACCTCCCCAGGCAGCTTCCCCAGCCTGGCTTTCCCTCAGCCCAGGCCCTCAAGCCTCAGGCCTACTCTCAGCTGCCTTTCAGTGCCGCGAAGCCTTTAATCACAAGGAAGTGCCACACACTTGCAGGCGAGAGGACCGAGGACCATCTTGACCCAGGAACCTTTGCCCCTGGATGCCGACAGGAAGGTCACTCGCCGTGTGTTGGGCCGAAAAGAAAGAGGCTCCGCAGGGGGTGGGGGCCGCAAAACTCGGGGAACCAGCGAAGGTTTGCGTGCCTCGGATAAATTAGCGATCGAATGAAAACCTAGTCCAACCACAGCAATTAATTCAGGCTTGGAGCGCGGGGAGGCACACATCTGCGGTGAGCGCGCCCTCGGAGCAGGAGCGCCGGCGGGCAGGCAGAGCCTTGGCCTCCGCGCCAATCTTCTCCGGTGCCCCAGGCTAGGGTCGCGCCGGGGACAAACTGAGCCCATCCTAGAACGCTGGAGCCACGGCGAAGCAAAATAAGAATTGGGCCAGAGAGAAAGCAGGGGTCGTTTGGGGGTGGGAAGGAGGGAGGAGAAGGTGGAAAAAACTTGCCAACTTCAAAGGTCGGCCCGGGCTGAGACGAGGTGAGCGCCCTTTGATTTGCTGTCACCTCATCTCCCCCCACCCCACCAACCCCTCTCCCCGGCGCTGGAAATCAGATCCTTATCTCGGCTCCCCGGAACCGCCCGCGCGCCGCCCGGCCCTCCGCTCTCAGCTCTCGGTGCTGGGCCTACCCGCAGCCAAGCGAGCATCGGTGGCGGCGAGACTCCGCACGCGGGCCCGAGCCCGCCCCGTGCCCAGCACGAGAACCCCTCGACCTGGCGTACTAACCTGGCCTTCCCTGGCCCACCCCAGGAGCGAAGACCTGGGGCTCGGCGGGAGGAGGGGGCGCTTACAGCTACCACTGCTTGTGGGAGCCAACCTTTCCGGGCTATCTGCCTGATCCTGTTTCCCCCGACACTCAATTTATTTTCCTCAGTGGCGCAGCCAGTTTCTTATTTTCAGCCGCATTCCGAGGCCAGGGCTCCTCAGACTCTCGCCAACGACTTTCCCCGGGACGAAATTCGTTAGAAACGTGGCTCTTTACACTAGTACCAAGAATGGGCCGAATGCACGACCCGGTTTCTGGAGGTCAGCTAAGAGAAAAACATAGCCTCACACTCCTCGCTCACCAGCCGGAGAGGATAAGCCCCGGTTGCCCTGACCCCGGAACCCCAGCCTGAATCCTTTAGATCTTTAAGTACAAGAGGGAACCCCTCTCCCCAAGCCAGGCATCCACTCTGCGAAGAGCTCGGGCCTCCGGACCTCGGAGGTGCGGTTAAGTGTTCCGACTCTACTCAGCAAATGCAATTCGTGCTGGAAAGCCCGAGTTCCCGCGCGGCGGAGCGCCAATCCCGGGTCTGCAGCCAGCCCTATGCCGGGCATTAATGAAGTGTGCCGAGTCTATTAAAGTGGTTTATTCGGGGCTAATTGAGCGTGTGCGAGTTAACTACTTGCATTAATGAGGACGGAGCGAGCTCCACGAGCTTGCGCCTGGAGGAACCCAGCAGTAGCCCCAGAAAATCATCCTTGACATCGGATCCCCAACACAAGTCACAGGCGTCTGAACCCCTGGCAGGAGGATTGACCAGCCCCGACTACTTTTGTTGAATTTTCCCAGCGAACGAGATCCAACGAATCCTTCAGCTAAGCGGCCATCCAGCAGCATTTAAACGCCCGTTGCGTCCTTAACAATCTGCTCCCCAATCTTAATGAAACTACAATTACTTCGAGGAGCCTGGGATGGAACATCTACCCGCTGGTGTTCCTAGCCTCCCTCCGTCCCTGCCCACCCTTCTCTTCTCTGGGAGGCTGCGAACCTGGGAAACTAGCCTTGCACGTGGTTTCTGTTCTCCAGAGCCAGTACGCAGCTCTTAGCCCGAGTGAAATTAGCAAATTATGGCAACAAAGAAACCCTCGTAGCTACTTTACGTTCTGAGAGCCTACCCGGCTACTGCCGGAACTCCGGAAAAGGTGCTGGATATGGCTTTTCGTTCTCATCAGAGACATTTCTGGGGAGAAATTAGCTCAGCAGGCCACCCCTAATCTCTTGCCCTCTCATCTCTGGGCTCCCCCCTCTCCTGAAGGCTGGGTTTGGGGACAGTCAGAAGAGCAAACGAATCTTTCCTTCCCAAGCCCCAACCTGGAGACACCAGCCACTCCTCAGCGTTTCCGCTGCCGCGGCGTGCGGTCTCGAACTGGAAAGTGACGCTCACGCCCCCTGCACGCACCGGGGCAGTGGCGGGTTACACTCCAGGCCTTGATCACACAGAGCAATCTTCCCATAGGAAACAACCCAAGTCAAAGCACAAGTGCAAGTCGGCGTCAGGCACGCGGCCCTGCGCTCCCGGGTGGTACTTGAGCGCAGCTCCGCAAAAGCAAAATTCGCAGGAAAGCGCGACCCGGGAGGGGCATGCACCTGTCCCTGGCGCGATCAGCTAAGGGACATCCGCTCTCTTCCTTCTTCGTCAGCTAAGGACAGGCAGACCTGGGCGCGTATCTCAGGAAAGTTTGTGCCCGCTGAAGTTGCTTCATTTTCTTAGAGGGGGCCCACAGGCTGGCTTCCCAAGTCCGTGGGCATGTCGCCCCGGATTCCGCGGAGTCTGGCCCCGCTGGGGGCAGTAGTGGAAGCCCGCCCTCTCATTCCCCGGGGTCAGAGGCCGGGGACCCTGCGCGGGAAGTCCCTGAGCTGGCACCCTCCACCACCCTGGGCTGCAGCGGCTCTCACTTTCACAAAGGTCCTGTAGCCTGCATTTGGCAAGAGGAGTTTCCTTCTGGGATATTGAGAGAGAGGAGACACCCGCCGCGCTGTGACAGGGAGCCCGGGAGTCCTGCCCGCTTTCCCCTCGCCGTGCCGGGGCGCCCAGGGCTGCAGTTACCTCGTTCCTCGGCGGTCCGGGGCTGAGCGCGTCTCTGGGGCTCCCGCTGCGGGGGACCCGGGAAGCCAGAGGCACTGGATTCCACAGGCACCCCCCGGACCTCTAGAGTCCTGGCCCCTCTCCGGCTACGGGGACTCCGAGCGCCCGACACGCGGGAAGCTCTCTGCGGCCCCGGAGTCTGGCCCGCCGGGGATGGTGAGCCTCGTTCGCGGCTCCCTGGTTGGGTCTGAACCCGAGCGGCTGAGAGCGTGCTGGGAAGAGACCGAGCTCAGACTCACTCATCCCTTAGCACCGAGCCGCCTACTTATTTTAATCCACCACCCTCCCTCCTCCTCCCTCCCTCCTCCCCTGCCTCGGGATTCCACCCCTCCCTCCCCTGCCCCCCAACCTTGCCCTGCGCCTGCGCACTGAGAAACAAAGTTTTGCTGACCCGGGCAGCCGACTTTGGCAACTGCGCTCGCTTAGTCCCGGCCTCCCGGGACCCGCGTTCCCAGCTCTTAAGTCCCATGCGACCCCCTCTGTGTTGTGAGGCCCAAGACGGCACCCCTAACCAGCTAGAAGAAACAGCCGCTAGCACAGGAGAGCGTGGGTCTCCTTGCGTTGTGTGGCCCTACTCCTGTGCGCCTACGACGCAGCCTGTGCCCACAGCCTGTGCCGAGCGGAGATGGGGGGTCGCACCGAGGTCCACGCGCAGCAGCTCGGGCTCCGCACACTTTAGGCGCCTGGCAGAGTTGCCTCTTCTCCTGGAACCCCTTCCCAGAGTCCGAGGGTCCGGGTGTGGTGCTGCTCTTGGGCATCCAAGGATGTTCAGTCCCAGGGTGGTAACCCAGATCCTGGGTTAGAGAGTTCGGTAGAAAGGTCAGAGGCGAAGGGTAGAGGGCAGGAGGTAAACACAGTTATTTTCCTGGGACCCAGAACTTTCTGAGATTCCACCTTAACGAACAATGAAGCCCTCTAATCACGCATTCATTTGTTTTTGGAAGGATGGATGGGAGGTTTGGAAAGCGGCTGAGGCACGGGAGAGAAGCTGAAACTTCGTCCGCTGCAGGACCTCCGAGTCCCAGGAGCTGGTTCAGGTGGAGTTTGGGGTCTAAGAGGGGCCAGGGTTCTAGCTGCGAGTCATTCTGTTTTCACTGCTTATGCTTTAAGGCAAGTACCAGCACTACCCTCTGGACCACTCAGCTCTGGGAGTTGAACTTCAGCTGACCCCAGCCCCAATTCCTCCCTGCCACCTTCCTGGGACACCCAGCCCTGGGTTTGGGAGAAGGTGCTGGTTCCCCAGCGGGGTTGGGTGGGCCCGGATTCGCACACTGCACTCCTAGAGTTTGTTGCAAGGCGGCTGCTGCGGAGGGACCCTTCCTAGCCCTCGGGGCTGGATCGGGGCATTGGTGGGTCTGCAGCTCGTCAGTTCTGTGTCTCTGAAGGCGAGCTGCCACTGTGTTGAGCTTGGGTCTGCAAGTCTTCTCGGACGTTTTTAGGGTATCACTCCCTGACCTAGGAAAATGGTAGTGGAAACACCCCCAAAAGACATAGTTGGACCAGACCCTTGTCTTATCAGCAGAACTTGAGAACAGAACCCGTCCTCCAGCCCCTCGGCAACCTTTCGCTTCAGCCGGAGGAGGAAGAAGCATTTGCGCCAAGAGGTTGCACTCACCCCCTGCCACAGGTGGATGCTGGAGCGAGGGACCCACCAAAGTTTGCCACTGGCATCCCAGACGCTGCCAGTGAGGGGCGACATCCTGGCCAAGGCGAAGCCCCTGGAGAGCAGAAGGGGGGCTGAGATCACTCGCTTCCCTGAGGTTGCAAAGCAACAAGTTCCAAAAGCAGGGGGTGGGGGTGGGGGGCCTGGACTCCGCAGGGCATTCCTGGGCTGGACTGGCCTCCATCTTGAGCGAGGGAATCTGCTTGTACCAGCCTCAGGCTCCCCCAGGAGAAAGAGCGCTGGGCATTTCCATGAGCAGCAGGAGAAGAATCACAGGGAGGTCTCCACAGCGGGGCACTCAGCTGCCCAGACAGGTGAGAAGTCCCCGAGGAAGAGGACGTTCAGGTGGGATGGTGCTTCCTGGGGTGGATGAATCCCATCCCCTGCTTAAAACTCCACACAGGGCAGCGGCGCTTTGCGGTCATTCCACTTGCCTTTTTCCCCTGAATCAGAACCATTGGCCAACATTCTTCAAAGTCAGCCAGAAAACTCCAAGTAGGGGTCCTTCCAGAGCCCTTGTAGAGAGTCTTCAGGAATTCGAATGAAAAGACCATGCAGCCCGGTCATTTAATGCGGCTGTTGCCAGGTTATCCGGGAAACTGATCCTGATTCATGCCAAGCAGAGGAACCTAGCCCTTGTGGGGGAGGAGAGGGAGGCAAGGCTGGGGCTGGCCTCTCATGGCCCAGCATCCAGGCATTGCCTCCCAGGAGAGTCAGGACCGCGTGAGCCTGTTTCAGACCCCTGGCTTCCACCTCCCTCCTCGTGGGTGCTCTGAAGTCTAGGATAACGAAATTCAAGGTTTGCTAGTTGCTGAGGTGTCCTCCATCCCAATCCAAGCTCCCAAGGGGGTGAGCCCCTAATTCAGTGTCCACTGGAGGCCATCCAGGTTCTGGTTCCTGGGGCGGCAGGAAAAAGCCCCGGAAGCTGAGAACGCCTCTACCCAGCAGTGGGAAACCCACCCCCGCCTATTTGAGAAATTAATCGGGCCTTCAGCAGCAGGACTTAGGTCGCAGCGCCGCGCCTGGACTGCAGCTGGGATGGATTGAAGAGGACAGGACCCAGGACGTGTTAAGGGCCGGGGGGCGGGGCGGGGGGGGGTTGGTGGGGAAGGTAATTTTTTTTTAGTGGAGTCTTCTGCATTTAGGACTCTCAGGAACGTCAGGTTTTGAACTTGGTTAACGTCCTCAGCAACCGGGACCCCATGAAGGGGGCGAAACTCTGGTCTGTCCATCCCATTCCCGGGAGGCCGGGGCACGCCGCCACCCACACGGCTTCAGCCAGCGGCCAGACCCGGCGCAAACTCCCACGGGGACCCTTTCCGGCGCTCTCGCCTGCCGCCCACGGGGCGGAACCTGCGGCTCTCCGGGGGTCCCAGACCCGGCCTGCACTAAGCTGCGTTGGCCAAGGGTCTCCACAGGAGCGACCAGGCCTCCAGGTCCGGGTCCTGCCTCCCCACCTCCAGTTCCAGGGGTTCCGGCTGGAGCGATCGCCGGGCGTGCCCGAGCCTGCCGGTCATCAACCACCCTGCGCCCAGCCCAGAAGCGAGCCCTCGCCGCTGCCTTTTTCTGGGCACACTTGGGGTGCTGACAGCTACTGCTGGTCTCCCCGCCGCAGCCCCAGCCCCTCTACTGACTCCTGTTGGCTGGGAAGGAAAAGTGCCCCAGCCTGTCTTCGGAGTGAAAACTGAGCCGCTTCCAGAAAATTAACTAGAATGTGGCTTGTATTGCTTTGGGGTCTTGCAGATTAAAAATGAACCCCACCTCTCCCCACTTTCTAGTCACACAAAAATGACCTCATTTTTAAAAAATGGAATTTACCTAGCACTTGCGAGTGTTTTCTTTCAACGCAAACTTCCCTGTAACTGCATTGTAGACAATTGGGGGGGGGGGGTTCTGCTCATTAGAACCCCCCTCCCTTTACGCATGTTCGGAGGTTTCAAATAACCGGGAGATTTAGGTATCCCTCTGTAATCATTTAGATGATGGATTGTAATGGCTCAATAGTTCCTCTGGAACCATTACGATCAATCAGGTCAAAATCCAGCTTCGGGGGGGAAGTTTTTAAGCCCGGGAGGTAGGTAACATGACATCCACACACACTTGTGCAGATAACACGCTCTGATAACGCACAAGCAACTCCAGCGTCTTAGAATAAATCCCAGGTGAACGCAAGAGCGGGTGTTTATTGTGACAGCGAGAGACAAGTTACAGTATCAAAACTGAAAGGGAAAGTGAACTGCTTTCTCCAAGCAGTTCCCGTTTCGTAAGTTCTTTATGAGCGCACAAGCATCTTGTAACTATTTGTCACCTTGATAAATGTAACCATACACACGTGAGTGCATCTACCCTTGGCTTATAAGGAGACAGGGTATGAAGCACGAATATGCAAGTGGAACTGCGTCAATTCTGGGCATGTTATCAGTAAAATGAAATGATAAAGGCTTAGGCTGTGAGGAGCAAATGTAAAATGTGTGTAAAAGGCGTGGCGAGTTTTATTTATTTATTTTTTTACTTTTTGTATAAATAGGAGTTGTCAGAATTATTTGTGACACAAAACAGATTTTTGTTCTAAGATTACTAAACTTTTCCTCTATCCAAAGGTGAAAGTAAATGTATTAGAAACGACGCAGTGTCTAATCTAACTAAGGATGATAAAGAAAAGTTATTTTAACTGGATCCTGTGTGGATAGGATGAAACCCTGCGGATAGAACCTTACCACACCCGCGGACCTATGCTCTCGAAGGGCTACATCGGCGGCCGTCGGCGCTGGAAAAACGAGCGTTCGCGTAATTAAACATTTCCAGACACTGGAGAGTTATTATCTGCATCGCGATTTCCGGCGCGAGGACTCGGGCAAGTCTGAGCGGTTTGATGGAGAGCTCGGAGCACGCAATCCTAAAGACAACGCGCCACCTGCTGGTGAGCAAGTGACATCTTCTGTTACTCCGTTCTCGAAAAGTCTCAAATCCAGCTATCCCTACTGAATCTTACCTGAGTGGTTAAAAAAAAAAATCCTTTCTTTTCTAAATTATGCAATTTGCCTTTACTCGTATAAAACTACTCACACTCCTGCCCTTCCAAAGAGTAAACAAAAGAGGAATTCCCTTTTGCCACAGGGCTTTTGTTTTCCTTGCTCCAATCCAGATTTGTGAGTTTGGTTTTTCTTCTTCTTTTTAAAATCCGATATCCTTAGCATCAATCTACCACCATTAGCTCTGGTCCTTGGAATAATGGTGAGCCAGGATCTAATGTGACACCTTCCTGCACTCTGAGTTGGGCTAGAGCCGCCCTCCCCGTGACATCCAGCAGCCGTCAGGCCGGCCAGGCTCTCCTGCCTGCTGGCTCCCCCTTAGCTACCTGTGGGTTCTTCCCGGGCTTTCTGAAGAATCCTAAAACTGGAGGGGGTCTCCATCTGTGAGCTGGCTTCCCTGAAATCTATGATGCTTCCCGCTCAGTCCTTGCTCCCCGGCCATTCCATT